TGTTTGGCTCATAAAAGGCAGCTGTCCCTCTGAACCTCTCTGGGGGCAAACTTTGGCAATCCAAATACATTTACTGCTTAAACTTTGGTATCTCTTTGGTCCTTGCCTTGGCATGTCCCAGCCTAGAAATATGATGGTGATTTCATTTTACCTGCATGGGCTGCAAACTATACTTTTGGCAATCATTAGCAATCATTACTGAGGGATGCCAGTTTTAATTACAAAATGTGTAAGGATTTTCAAATTATTCAGTCACGAAGAGAAAGGAATCCTCTTTTCAGAGGAAAATGCAGTCAAAATTAATAGAGGCCAGAAACTAACTGAGACCTATTCATAAGTCAGTAGGACTATGAAAAGGATGATAAGAAACTGTAGAATTTTCTGCTTTGCCTGGAAAATCAGTCTCTCTTTTACCATAGCAGGCACAGAAGTTGCTCTTAAATTATATAGAAGATGGTGAAACACCTCTGTTTTCCTAGGAGAAAGAATTAMAAAATAGCTATTATATGCCATAGCAGAAAGAAAGATGCTTATAAAATAGTGTGGGCTTTGAATTTGTTACAGAAAGCAATTTTCAGTTCCATAATTTTTTTCACTTTCTTTTCAAATATGCTCCTCCTGCATTTGCTTTCATAGGAATGAGAGTCCATAAAGATCACCAAATCATTTGGCTGTCCTTGTCCTGAAATACCTTTTCACTGCACCTAAAAAGATACCTCCTCACAGTCAGGTGCTGCTTTTTTTTTTTCTTCTTACTCACTCCTACCTGCCTCCTGGTGTCCTGATTCTGTCCTTCCCTGGTACTTTGCTTTTCAGGGCAGGAGCCTGTTCTTTGTTTTTAATTTGTATGGGTTGGGAGCTGTTGTTCCTGATCTACAACTGAAGCAACTCAAGTCCAAATGAAAAGCATTCTCCAAAGATTGTTATGTTCCTTCCATCCATCATCAGGCACTGCTTGGTGGCAGTAGGAGAAGTGGAGGAACCATTACAGAGGCTATGCTGAGCTTGCCAGCCTTGGTGAGAAAGGTCAGGGAAGCTGGAGGAGATTTATTTGTCAAATACACCCATTTTTCTCTGGAAAGTGTGATCCAACAGTCAGAACTTCAAGAAACGCTGGCTCAGGTGCTAGCCCAGCAAGCATGATGAATGAAGACAATAACAAGGGGAGAAAAAGTAGTTTAAGATTTGCCTGAAGTTACATGAAGTGAGAAAGGCTGTAGCCCTCTGCCAGGGCTTTTGTAAGGTTGTTCACTAAAGACATTTCTCTGGGATTGTGCACTTGTGGAAGATGAGAAAAGGGGTAAGACTATTTCTCTGGGATATTTTTGACTCGTAGTCCTGCAYAGTAAGGACTCTGGGAATAGAAGATCAGCTGTTTTCTCAAAGAGAGCTTCTCAGGAACTGCCTGTGAATTACTAAAAATATATCCTTGCCCAAAATTTAATTATTTTAACCTGAATTGAGAGGTGTGCCTCTCTTGGGCTGGTACTAAATGCACCAAGATCCATKTTCAGCTCTCAGATACATCTTCAGGTGGCTCAGAAAGGTGAGTGCCAGGCTATATGTCACTTTTGGAGGAAATGAGCAGGTTTCTACAGGATTCTGGAGGAAAGAYACTCTAAAATGTATCTTACTATCTTGCTGGTGTTGTCTTCTTCCTGACTCTCCCTTCAGGCTTCCTCTGGTGTTACTACTGCCTTCTCCAGTCGTGGTTTTGGTCCAAATGTACAGCAGCTTGAGTCCCACCACCAACATTTTTTAGGTTCCCATAACGTTGAGACACAAATAGGAGCTTTCAGTTCCCTTTAAAGATGACAGTTAACCCAACTGGATTTATTTTTTCTGATTTATCACAGAATCCTACAGTGGTTTGAGTGGGAAGAGATCTGAAAGACCATCTAGTTCTAACCCTCTGTCATGCCACAAGCGGGGATGTCACCCACTAGATCAGGACTAGAACAGTTTTATTATTTATATCTTATACCATCCAGAGAATTGACAATTCACTTCCCCTGAAGCCATATATTTCTGCCTGGTAAATAACATGATGCCTGAGTACAGCCACCAAACAGTTTGCCTGTGTAAATAATCCCACTTTGGGGTCTGGCTGTGAAATGTAAGCAGCAAGTCCTAAGCAATCATTGCAAATAATGCAGTTGGGCTGCCATCAGTTTGTTCCAGCAGTGTTTGCTTCTCTTTCCAGTCCAGGCTAGGAAGGAAAGGCAACTGAAATTTGAGTATTAAGAGGTGAATTGTAGGTTTTAACACTAAGACCCGCTTGTGGATGTGTCTTCCATGAAAGTGATATCCTGATGCCATTCTCAAATAATTGCATGCATAAAACCCATTCCAGAGTTTCAGTTCCTCTGTGAATTCCTCTTCATATCAGCAATCTCTTACATCCATTTTCTGCCATTCTGCCACAAATCTCATCCATGGGGGAATATTTGGCAGCACAGAACAGTCCTGCTGAGCAGGGCTAAGTCTTTTTCTCTGTGCTGGACACTGCAARGGTTAACTTCTTCTTAGCAACTGAGTGAATTTCTTGCATGAAATTAAAGTGTTTCCTTTCCCCTCAAATGACAGGAAGGGAAAGATTGTTTAAGAATGTGTCCATACATGCCAGGCATCCTACTCCTGCCACTAGCAGCCACCTGCTTTCCATGTTGGACAGCCAGTTGCTTTTTTGGGACAGAGGCTGTCCAGAGGCAGGCAGAGGGTTGAAGGATGGATGATGGTTTAGGTGGGAGTGGTGGTGGTATGTTTGGGATAGAGCCTTTGAAGGCAGTCCAAAGACCAGGTTTGGGCCCTGTAAGCTAATGGCAGTCAGAGCACAAGGTGGGATATGGAAAAAATCAAAGACTAAAAAGGCATAACTGGTCTGTTTCACTGATTTTAATTTTATTTCGTTAAATAAATTGCCAGCTTGATTTTGTTCTTAAAGGTATATATTTTTGCAACAGTATCATCCTCCCTTAACACTCAAATGACTAATATCAGGTCTGTGCGGGAGTTCTTAGATGGATTTCAGTGAGCTTTTTCATAGTCATTATCTTTATTARGAAAATCTGTGTCCTGAGATGTTATATATCCCAGTGTCAGCAAACCTGCTGTGCAATTCAGTGGATTACAATGCAACTCACTAACGTGTTTGAAATAATGAGGTTGCTCTGTTCAGTGGGGTGCAATGAAAAATAAAAGCTACTGCTGGGARCTCAGATTTTATTTAAAGTCCTGACTGAAAAGGTTCCCTATTAAAATGCCACTGCAGGTTGCTACGTTTGTATATTCTTTAACTTCCATTTCATGCTGGGAAATGAGAAGGCCCAAAGAAATTTTTTAATCTTTTGCTCTGTGCATCTAAACAGTGTGTTAAATTCCAGCCTTGCAGACTTCTGGTGCTCTTGGGAATAAATGTTGGATTACATGAACTGAATACAGAGAGAAATTGTGGCTGTTGGAGATCTCAGTTGGAGATCTGAGCTTTGGGTTCCCTATCACTGATCTTTCCCTGAGACCTGTAGTTCTCAGGTCTGATTCTCTTTCAGGCAACTCCTACTTCTGTCTGATTATGGAATTAGAAGGAACTGAGTTGATCCCTTCCTACTCCCTGCCTGTCTGGAAGTTGGGCAGAGGATATGGATTTCTTTCCATTAATTAATTGGAAGCCTTTATAGTGGCCCTTCAGCTTCAGYCTCTCCTGTTCATCTCAGCATAATTGTTGGGCCATTTTTTGGTAGACTATTTGTGTGGTCTCATAACTTTATTTTCTCCTTAGAAGTAGAAGCTTGTTTGTCAGAAAAACATATCTGAACCAGTCATACCTTCGGAAAAAGAAATATACTGAGAGAAGAAGGTGCTGGTAGAGCTTTTTAGCCATTGTCTGCATCAAACTGAATCTTATAAACCCAGCCTGTGAGATGACCTATATCCCTTTTAAAAGTACACTTTTCTTCATGGCACTTAGACCATAACATAAATGTTAATGAATCTGTAAAAGTGTCCCAGCATTTGGCACAGGAACCTTCAGGGTGTGAAGCAAACCAGGAGATAAATGGAAGTGCTCTGTGTACACAAGGCTGCAGAACTGGCTTTGGCTGACCAGTTACCTGGATTTAATAACCTGCATAGGTTTTCAGCTGAAGCTTGATGTATGGTTTTTTTTTTTTTGTACCAGTTTTCTTCTTTTTAGATGCCCAGCTTTACAATTAGATATATTTGCCAGTTGATGGGGGCGATTTAAAGGACACAGACACCAGTGGAAAGAATGGTCTTATTTTACTGACAATATTAAGGCAATACAGAGGTAAAATGATACACTTAGTAAAACAGCAACTTACTGTGCACCTGGCTTTAGTAACAAACAAAATAAGCAAGATAATGYACCTAATCAGTACTATATGAGAGAGAATAGTKATTAAGARAGATACATCACCAATTKCCTCAATACTTCRCCRTCATCAACCCACAGTTGCAGGTYGGGACCCACTGTTGCAGCAGCAATTTGAGAGCTTTGCCAGGAATTGGGAGGTTCTACACAATGCTTCCACTCATAAGTGAGTTCTCCAAAGTCACTACAAGGTAGCTTTTATAGCTTTTATAGCTTTTATAGCTTTTATAGCACACTTCCTGACCAGGCAGGACCAGGGCATGTCCAGAGCCCTGCCCACAGTTGGGGGAGAGGTTTCTTGGAAACAAGCATCTGGTGATGCCAGGTAGGAAGGTTTCTTAAAATTATATGTTTATTAACATATCTTGCAGGTAATTACATAAGGTCATGTGAAAGTTCCTAAAGCAACCAGTTTGGTGTTAAAACAGCCAGCATAAGCTGTTTGGTGAGTCTGTATACAAGATTCTTACGTTAAATTACTAATGTGGTATCAATTACATGATTTTCAGGAGTCAGCTTTRGCTTGGGCCTGTTGTTCAGGCCTGAGTACTTCAGCTGCTATCTCCTATTTGCAGTTTAACTCCAGAGGGTCGATTTTCCCCTCCCACAGGGCCGAGGTGGAAAAGGCAGCATCTATGTGTGGGCTTCTGGAGATGGGGGCAGCTATGATGACTGTAACTGTGATGGTTATGCATCAAGCATGTGGACAATCTCCATCAATTCTGCCATAAACGATGGACGGACAGCTCTGTACGAYGAAAGCTGCTCTTCAACCTTGGCCTCCACCTTTAGTAATGGGAGGAAGAGGAATCCAGAGGCTGGTGTGGTGAGTCCTGAAACCATGGTGCAATTGTTGCTGTCTTTGTTCATTCTCATGACCTATTGCAACTCTGTACTTTGGTGCAGCAGATGGTTCTTTGTTGAGATGGATATTTTCTCATCTGCAGCMTGTGATGGTGCCAAAACTGTCAGCTGAGATGGTGTGAGATTTATACTGAGAACAGCAATGATCCTCCATCTCTTAGAGCTTCAAAGGAAAGTTGGTGCTTTCCTTTATCAGAAATCAGATTTAGAAGTTCAGCTGCCCTCTTCTTAGAGGACAGTGTGGCAGAAGGTCTCTGTAAAAATCTAAGTTGACATCTGAGATTGTATTTTGTATTTACTTGTACTGGCAGACTTCTGCTGTACAAGCAGCACAGAGCAGAATGATAYTCATTCACCAACAGAGGACATGTGAGGGTTCTGGGATCACCRGAGCCTGCTGTTGCTCCAGGGCCATACCCATGGCTGGAAAACAGGCAAGTTCCATTCAATTTGGGATTCTCTTGATTCTCTTCCACTGTAGTGATCACTGCTCTTCAGCACCTTCAGAGTAGCCAGGACATCGTTTGGTTTGCAGAGTGGAAAATGCAGGTATACTGAGTCAAAGTTAGTTTTTGCCAAAAGCTGTTGTACATTTTTCATGGCTCTGTCTCAAGCCTCCAAGCCTCATTGCACAATCCTAGATGCCCACATGTAGTAGCAGAGAGAACATGGGTTTTTGTCTTCATATCAGCTCTGTGATACCAGCCAAGATGATCTGTGGCACCTTTGTAATTATTGCCATGAAATGCATTTCTAAGGATTTGTTGTGGTCTCTGCTAGTGACCAATCTGCACAGAAGTCAGCAGCCTGCTGCTGCTGGTCCCAGAGTTGGACAAATATTAAAAAGCTCAATAGTGTTAACAATTCTAGTTTCAAATCGTTCTGATAATCACAAAAGAATTGAAGGCCTTTGRTTAAACTGTGTTTATAAGAAACAAATGGGTACTAAGTGATAATGAACAGTGTTTTACTACCTCATGACTTGCTCTTTCATTTATGCTCTGTCTCATTGTGGTTTTAAATTGACACACTCTTCCAAAGCAGAAAACAGATCAAGCGCACAAACACAGTAAAAGAGCAAGGGCACAAACTCCACTTACTGTAATTTTCTGAATCTGTAGACGCGAGGAAAATGGGATAGCTGGTTTCATTAATCACATCTAATATCATTGCAGGCTACAACAGATTTGTATGGCAACTGCACCTTGCGTCATTCGGGCACGTCTGCCGCTGCCCCTGAAGCAGCCGGAGTGTTCGCCCTGGCCCTGGAAGCTAAGTATGCTGCTGAGAAATTCCTTGGGAGCTCTAGAGAGTTCATCATAAAACAACTGGAATAGCTTTAGTTAYGTAGTTATGTACACTGTTCATCATTTCTGTTGGCTGGCTGTGGCATGAGGCTGCAATGCCCAACTCCAAAGCTGCCTCCTGCAGTAGTGACACGCACGGTGACGTGCAGATAGAGAAAAAGCCTTGCCAAAGCCACCTTGCAGATGTGTTTTGGCTGTCTGGCTCTCTCTTTGTCCTCCCCATCCTCTGCATCTAGGGATTTTGTCTTCTCTAGCGCTGTTTGGAGGAAGAGATTATTTCATTTCTCCACAGGTTCTCTGCAAAATGCCCAGCCTGCAAAAACAAAAGARTGAAACTGTAGTATCAGATAGGAGTTCATCTTGTGCCAGGTACTGTCTGCARTGGGAGAGGACAAAGAGTGGGGATTAAGAGTAGTCTTTCAACAGGAGCTTTGTTGGCCCATGGTTTGTAGAGACAGCAGTAGATTTCTCCTGTTYAATAGCCAAAGGCAGATTGATCTTCCTTGAATTTGTTTAAATCTTTTTCAGATTATCTGTATTTGGCACCTAGGTCATCCAGTAACAATCAGTTCCTCAATATTTTTTAGGCAATGTTGATACGTAAGGTTTTCTTTGTTTTATTTTTAACCCATTGCTGGTTGGGTTAAACCCATAGCTGCTTCTGCGCTGTTTAATTGCTCTGTTACATGAAGGAATAATATCCATTGTCTGTTTACCATGTCCATGGTATTCATTACACTGGAACCTTCTTGTATATCTTGCAATCATTATCTTCTTCTCTGTTGATTAGAAAAAGTTTTCCTTACAATAACTTATACCAGCTTTTTTACTTTGTGTTAATTTTTTCCATGAACTGAGGCAACATTTGCTTAGTTACAGAGCTTCRGTTGCTGTAACCACAGCATGAAGTGAGCACTGTGTGCATGGTTTCCTTCAACAGTGCAAATAGTGAAGATTTGTGAGAGGAGGCCAAGTTTACATTAGCAGAGAAATCATTATCATGCTCAGAGCATGAGTTGGTCCAAGTCTCATTTTTCAGGTTTTATGCACATAAAATACATGCCAAAGGTTTAACTTCAGGTGATCATTCCTTCTACTATCAAACTCATTCAGTAAAAAAAAAAACCAAAAATAAAAACTACATAATAAATTAATATGGCCATAAAATATTTAATGAATTTTCTCACCACTGCATGTTTGAACCTAAACATCTCAGTAATAATTATCATTCTCTTCAGTTGAGCTACCCATAAAGACTGGAATTACTCAGCCAAATTCTCATGAATAGAAATTAAACTTAATACCCCTGGCATGGATTTCTAGGCTTTGCTGAGAAGGCAGCAGGGAAGAGAAGGAGCTGTCAGTGTCTCCTGTCTCTGGTGTTATTAAATTGTATTGTGCAGAACTATCCTGGATGAATCTTCCCAGGAATGACCATCTACCCTGAAGCCTGTTCTTGCCTGCATCGTGTCTGTCAGCTCATACACAATGTAGGACTGATATGTCTCTCAAATCAGACCAATCTATGAAACAGAAAGTACAGCTTCAAGATATGTGCAAGCTCTTAAAAGATTTCAGAAAGAATGATGCAAGGGATGCCTTCTTTTCAGCTCTCTTGTGTCACCTTGGGGGAATGACAGTTMATTGGGCATTCTGGTGTACATTCAGCACACACACATGCTTATTACTTGGGGCACAGAAAGCTGRAAAGCAGATCCTTTTAGGCTGATGGTTTGAATCAGACATATTGTGATGTGGAAAGAGTTCATCRTAAAMCAACTGGAATAGCTTTAGTTATGTAGAATAAGAATGTCAGTTCTAAAGCTCCTAGAATAATGAGTGCCCTTCCTRTCATCATAATCACTGCACATCTAGGAAGACAAGAGAAGATGATAAAAAAATGACCATTGAAACTAGGCAAATATTACTTGACTGCTCCATTATTCATCCATGCTAATATAACWTGGGTGACAAACCTCTGCCAAACCTTACAGTGCAAACTGGCAGCCACCCACAGCCCATATATCCACATTCACAGAATCCTGACATTATTAACACCAGGATCATAAGAGTTCATCAGCTTCATCACATTGAAGGGTGGGTCAGGTGGTTCAGACCACATTTCTCAGAGTGGGTATTGGAAGATCCATGTGAAAAGCAGGAGGAGCAGGCAAGAAAAAGGGGGTAAGATCTGACAGGAAAGCTCGGTGAAATTTTTTTGGCATCTTTTATTTTTTTTTGTATTTTTCTTAGGATCTGGTGTCTTACCCATTTTATTAGCTTTAAAATTGCAGTTGCATCTATAATGCCTATTTAAAATAAATTATTTTTAATCAGAAATAATTTTGCAATTTTGGGAAACATATTTTGSAAAAGTGCTATMTAATTCAAACCTATKCTTGTTCCCAGTGAGATYGATAGAAGCTTTGTTATTGGTATGTGTATAGATACAATTTCCATTTTATTCATAGAAATAAATTTTACCTGAAGGTTTACTCAAACACATTCTTTCTTTAATATCTGCTTGGAAATACTGTAATGATTTTTTTCCCAATTTGCTGTTCCACAGCTTGGATCTGACATGGAGAGACATGCAGCATCTGACAGTGCTCACCTCCAAGAGGAACCAGCTTCACGACGAGGTKCACAGGTGGCGTAGGAATGGTGTTGGGCTGGAGTTCAACCATTTGTTTGGCTATGGTGTCCTTGATGCAGGAGCAATGGTTAAGATGGCAAAAGACTGGAAGACTGTTCCCGAGAGATTCCATTGTGTTGGAGGGTCAATACAGGAGCCTGAGTAAGTGAATAGTCCASTGAATGTGCTTGGCTTCTTCCAGGCATCTGGGAGACACAACATACAATTACATTGACAAAGACAATCAAAGAAAATGAAGATTTTTTGTTTTTTTCTGAGGAACCCTAACCAGTAATAGGTTGATATAACATTTTTTATAAACAATGCTTGATGAATCTACATGATCTGTCRATTCCTGGCTTGCTGGAGGAGTACATTCTACAGCACATTGGTATCCCCATTGCTAGTGCCATTAGTGTCAATAGCAACATCCATTTCTCCTGGGCACTCACAGTCACTTCTGTGCTAAAGTTTCTGTGAGTAAAGAGCCTGTCCCCAGAGGAAAATCTGGAAGGCTGGCACTGTAAATTACACAAACTGCTGCCAAATTAAACATTTATCAGCCAGGTCATATCTCATTTTGAGGTTCTTCAGTAGACAATTTTATCTCCAGAAGACCAAAACAATCATCTACAGGTACCAGTGATTCAGTTTGAACACTACAGCATTTAATTGTACTTGCTTTAAGCTCTTCAAATATCTAATTGCAGAGTAGATGTCAGATTATTTTCTGATTTACTRTTATGTGCTAAAGTGAATGAGTCAACAAGTGAAGGAATTAATACTAATGGACTACARCAGCTGTAGTTTAATTTAAAGAATTGAAATACTAACCTAATAATGGCCTAAATTATGCCTATACCATTTGAAATTTGACTTTTCAGTGCCATTTTTGAAGGCAACATCATTCTGTTGGAAAAAGAAAACAAACCAGGATGCYACCCTAGCATACAGCTCAGCCAGGCAAAGAGTGAGTTCCCCAACCTTCCAGATTGAATTTGCCTGATCCAAGGTTCTACAGCTGAGCTCTGAGTTTCAATTTTTCTGGTCTATGCAAGCTCACAGGTAAAAAAACAAATGAGAATGCTGAAGCTAATTTTAAGAAATCCCTTAGTTATTTATGAATAATTAAATGCAGAMAAATAATCTCATTTATCTTAGTGCAGCTCCACCTATTGAAATGGGGATCATCCTAGAGGAGGAGAGAACATTTCTTTTTGTAGRTTGTAAAGGTGCTCCTCTGCCACTTGCCTGACACATCTATGTATTAACAGCACTGCTATAAAATTTATGCTCCCCAATGAAAATGTCACTGGCAGGCAATAATAAGCATCATGAAGTGCAACATGTACAATTTTTTTATTTGCAGTGTAAAAAAAAAGCTAGCTAAATCCCAGCATCTCCAGAAATTCCCTGGAAATTAGAACAACACTACACTTCCGCTGTGGATAATTGGGTTATTCTTTCAGTTTGGTCTTGCTGGAGCAACATATTCTATATTCTCTTTTTATTTAAGTGTGGATATTTGTATACATAAAAGATGTATTCAGTATAGATTTATGAAGGTGTGTAGTTGATACAGAGGCGTGTTTCACAGCAGTGTTGTGAATTAAGCAAAAGGCTGGGAAATAATTAATAGACAGAAAGCAATCAGTTATTTACAACAGAAACACTTGTTAGCAATAGGACCTTCTCCTGACAAGGGTTTTGGCTGGTTTAGGGAAAACAAAGTTTTAACTTTGTAGCCCATTAACTGAGAAAAGGAGCACACAGGAGCTCCCCATGCTCATGTCTCACTATGTACTGGGTACTATGCCGTGGATATACTATTTATATATTTTTTTAAGTATATATATATATATACATAAATTGGTCAGTGGCACGTTGTAAGGCTGTGGAAAATCCATCTTCTCTTCTGCYCCTTTGTGTCAGGCCTTTTCCACCACCCCTGGTTCTTTTTGGTTTTTTGGGAAAATTCACCTGGACTACAATAATTAATTTAGTGAAGCAGAGAGTATTAGATCCTAATTATTAGGAAAGGGGGAAACAGAGCATTTTGAAGTCTTTTCTCATGTGTTTTTAGAGAGCTGAGAGAACTTCTGCATTGCAGTATTTGAAAAGGGGGARATAAAAGCTCTGTGCAGCTGTCAAGCCATCTGCAGAGCAGATGTAGTGGGTTCACATTGCTCTTATTTCTTTGGGTTTTAATCTTGATAGGAGAAAAGACACACAGTGATATCTCTTTTCATTAACTGAAGGAGATAAAACACTTATCACATCTGGGGGAATGAAGCAATGTTTGACAAAGCTTTGTTCACTGTCTGAGAGGACTGTGAGAGAAAATGAATCCAGATTGAGTTGAGATTGAGTCTTCCCATGCAGACAAACTGCAAGCACATGGCAAGTGTGAAATTGTGATCCTTCACTTCTGCATGTAATGCATGTTTCTTGTGCTTCGGAACATAAAACAAGTATCTCAAGGATATTATAATTAGATGCTTAAATATTTTAGCTATACAATATTTATGTTACACCAATCTCTGCTCAGTTATACTCAGAACAACACAGGTGTTTCAGTTTAAGGTAAGTGTTTAAATGCTTTGAGAATCTGGATATGAATGACTTTTTACTCTGCAAGTACTCCCAAGAAGRCAATACTCTATGCAAGGGGGAAGGAGACTGGTCTGAGCCAATTAGTGATATATTCAGCTAGAGCTCATCTCAAGAAGAAAAGAATTCCTGGAAGCTAGGCTTGAATGAAATTCTTTGACCAGTCTCTAAAGAACACACTATTTCATTAGCAGAAAGMTGGTACTGATATCTTTTGAAAAGAAGGTATTCATTACCTCAGTGTGGTCAATGCCCTTCTAAAGGCTCTCTGACTGTAGAACTGAGGTCAGGGAGAAGCCATTGGAAGACAAGATAATGACAAGGTGACTGGAATCTTTTGTGATTTTCTCCCTTTTGAAATGATTGCTGTAATTCTTGTCTCTCAATTATTTCTTTTAGACAGAGGGAACTGCTTATACAACACTGATGGTGAAGATGTAAAACATTTTTACACTTTCCATGTATTTTGCCAGCCAGTTTCTGAGGCAGTGGGTAATTGCAAGTTTCATCCTGACCCCAAAGGGTTTAGGAGACACTTGACAGCCTCAGCTCCTGGGCCAGACTTTGGTAACTCAGCAAACATGTGTGACTTCTTTCCTTGATGTATATGCTCATTTAYCAGAGCTATTCAAGGAAAGAAATCTTCATGGAAAAGCATTTTTCAAATGAGCCGACTTTAGGATCCTATGTTTGTGCTGGTTTCYAAAGCAGAACAAGTACATAGGCTTTAATGGGACTGCACTGAAATTCTGTGSCATTGATTCCTCCAACACAGAGAGCCATTTGCTGCTGTCATTTAAGGAAATGACATGACTAGCTGCTCATGGTGCTTTTACTGAATATACACATTCATATGCAATTACCCAATAAAGGAGTGATAAGTAAAGACAACCATTAATRTTAGTTCTTAAAGAGCAGTATGTGCATCTTAATTGTATTACTTCTCTCTTTGTGTAGATGTACATTTCATAATTCTTTTCAAATTAAGGCTTTGGTATAATTTTCTAAAAAGAGAACATTCTCTTTATGGCTAAATTTGTGACTATTATTTCCTATACCTTTTCATGTATTAATAAGGAAAATAATGCAGGGTTTTTCTGTGAGACAGCAAAGCACAGTAGTTTTAACATAAGCCACRTTATGCTGTTTTAATTTGCTTAATTATCTTTTGACCAATAGAAAGATACTACCAAATGGCAAGCTGGTCCTCACCCTAACCACTGACGCGTGCGAGGGGAAGGAAAACTTTGTCCGATATCTGGAACACGTCCAGGCAGTTATAACTGTGAATTCCACTCGACGAGGAGACCTCAACATCAACATGACCTCACCAATGGGAACAAAGTCCATTTTGCTGAGCCGGCGCCCCAGGGATGATGACTCCAAGGTTGGTTTCGACAAATGGCCTTTCATGACCACTCACACTTGGGGAGAAGACCCCCGAGGCACCTGGGCTCTGGAGATTGGGTTTGTGGGCAGCCAGCCCCAGCGGGGTGTGCTGAAGGAGTGGACACTGATGCTGCACGGGACTCAGAGTGCACCGTACATAGACCAAATAGTAAAAGATTATCAGTCCAAACTGGCCATGTCYAAGAAGGAAGAGCTRGAGGAAGAATTAGATGAAGCAGTGGAGAGAAGCCTGAAGAGTATACTGAGCAAGAACTAGTGCTGTGTTGCATGAYGGTGTCTTTCCTTCCCCAGACCCTTCTACTCACTGTTCTACTATCCAGACCTCCATGTTAGACGTATTACAATGATTGTCTCTGTAGCCAAATTATCACCTTCTTGATTTTAAAGTCTTATATCTTGTCAGTAATTATTTTAATTGCCACTGAAGCAGTCCATTTTTTAGCTCTAAACCACAAAATATATCCCGCCACATACTRTGTACAGTTTGTGACTGTAAATGATTTTTCTTTTGTGTCATAGAAATACGTAATAACCTGCAAAGAAGTTAWTGGCTTTTCCCTTCATATTTTTGTGGTAAATGTTTCTATTAAAAAAGAATGAATTTTAATATTGGAAGTTGGTGATAATGGGCACATTTTTTTAAATGACTGTGAGAGAGGGAATCACAAAAAGGTTGTCTGGAGAGGTCTTTAAACATCTAATAGTTCTTTCTGCATCACTGACTTCAGTGGGACTTTCCCCATAGAGCTCAACCAAAGTAGCACTAGACACCACAAAAAGAAGTAATCCAGAGATAAGGAAAATTCACCAATCCAATTTGCAGAAATCCAGTTTTGAGAGTTTTCTTTCATACTACATACACACTTCAGCTACAGGATGGATCAACAGATGTGCAATAAGGAAGGCAAAGCGATTCCAAAGCTGGGTGGCAGGGAGAAGTGATTTGCAAACTGGGTCAGGGCATTCTAGAAGCACAAG